TGTGTTAATTTTCGTGAAAATCGGTTCAGATTTAGACATAGCTCCCACATATAGATTATATTCTTAACAACGCGGCGTACCGAATAGCGTGTATTAAATTTTCCCCATGTTACGCAGGCGGCTCTAAATCTGCTCGAAAGAAATTAAAGTTAGGATAGGTTGGAGAAAGAGGGAACATAGACATGCAATTGTTAGGATACATATGTACAATATACCCAAAGTGGTGAAGGGTATCATATAGTCGGCCCAGTCCGACTTTACTACTTTCCTTACTGGTTTTTTTTATTAATTTCTTTTTCGAGATGAGCTACATGATCGGAGTTGCAATGAAAAGGAAAGTCAGAGTGATGCTACATTCCCACCACTATGCGACGCGTTTCGCCGTTGGTTAAGCGGCTCATCAGGCATATTGGCAATGTGGCTTAAAAATATCTTTACTTGATAAGTTCTATTTATGTCGACTATTGTTGCGAAATTGCATCTACGAATTAAATTCAACCGTGTCAAGGTTCGGACATTTGGCATCACACCAGAACATTCCTTCTCAGAGCAGATTTTTCTTGTAGTGACGAACTTTTTTTCCATATAAACTACAATATTTTTCTTCAATGGTATGCAACTGCATATTGTGCAACCATAGGGAGAAAAGGAGGTGATTTTGAACGCTAAGGCGCCGGACAACAATCAACAGATGCCATGGGAACCAGGGTTCAAATCCCAGCCGGGCTCAAGCTGAATTTTCTGAATTTTGTTTTCATTTATTGTCTACAACACCGAACATTTGAAATCGTCAACTTCAAACGTTAATGGTTGTCAATTTCGAAATAATTATATTCCACATTATTGAGATAAAATTTATAGTTGATTTCATCTGAAGCTATGACAACTAAACTACTTATCAGATTTAACAAAGACTCTTTTTACTCCTTTACATACCTACGTAGTTAGATAGGTAGTTATGGATGTCTGCAAAACTATACCATAATAATGTACATGTAAATCTTTTTACAGAATTACTTCATCAATTCAATCCATTGAAAATACATTTGTATGTGTTTGAGAATCAACCACCCCTTTGCCCTGTACAAATCTACAACGATTGTACGCCAATACAAAAAGGATTAATCCGCTTAATATCTTAAGCTCTTACTGCTATAAAATCATGTTTTATTTTTGTTATAATTGGTTACCCTCGTTGTAGTTCGACGTCTTTAGCAATCGTCGTTGCAGTCACAAAAATAAATCTCTTTAATATGGCTGAGGAAAATAGGAAAGAGAATTCGATATTGATATGAGATGGGCAGAACATAATGGTATTGTTCAGCATTCCACAAAAACGAAAGGACATTGTGTGTGCGTATATTTTGGCTATCCAATAGCGTGACAAAAAGTTGGCTGGAAAATGGGTTGTTTTGGTTTTATTTAAATAAATTCAGCAACAATGAAGGATTATGGAGTTTTTAACCCTAATTTAGCTAATATCAAATGTGTTTATCTGGCTCAACTGAGGGCACAGTGTTTTAGGAAAAATTATATTTATATATACTAATTATACCCTTCACCAAACTGAGGTACAGAGTATTATGTCTTTGTGCATATGTTTGTAAGAGGCAATAGGAAACGATATAGACTCGTGGTTACTTTTGGGAATGTGCATAGAATCACCTTCTGAGTCGATATAGACATGTCCGTCCGTCCATGTATTTTTGTGAACAAAGTGCAGGTAGCATTTATGATCCGATTTGGATAAAATTTGGCACAGCTCACTATTTGTTCCAAAGACGAACCCTATTGAAATTGGAGAAAATCGTTTGAGACTTGAATATAGCTCTCATATATAGTTTCGTCCGACTTTATATAAATGGTGCACCAAGCTTCCAATAAACAAATGGTACAATTGAGACCAACTTTTGCAAATAGTACTGAATTAGATTCGGATTCTGATATAGATTTAGATCCAATATATATTTTCGTCCGATCTTATACAAATGCAGTACCAAAGTGCCAGTGTTTCTCCGATTGAGACACAATTTTGCGCACCGTACTGATATTACTACGTCCGTGAAAATTTGTTGAAATCTGTTTAGGTTTTGATATAGCTCTCATATATATTTTCATCCGATTCCATCATAAGTGGTGTACCAAAAAACTAAAGTTTGCCCGATTGAAACTAATTTGTACCCGACGTGGCAAATTGAAATTAGAATAACGTGTATACCCTCCACCATAGTATGGAGGGTATATTAAATATTCATTTCCGACCCTATAAAGAATATATATTCTTGATCAGGGTAAAATTCTAAGACGATCTAGCCATATCCGTCCGTCTGTTGTAATCACGCTATCTTACGAAGGAATTGAGATAGGGTGCTGAAATATTACATAGAGTTGTCTTCTGCCTGCAGGCAGGTCAAGTTCGAAGATGGGATATATCGGTCCACGTTTAGGCATAGCTCCCATATAAGGGTACCCCCCAATTTTCGGTATTTTGGGGTTCTTTAGGGCGTTTTTCAACCGAATTCGCTGAAATTTGGTACATTGGGTTCTTATTGGGTACTAAATGTCTCCACAAAAAATTATAAATATAGGTCCACTTTTCCTGGTAGCCCCCATATAACGGTACCTCCTAATTTTCAGTATTTTGGGGTTTTGGTCGCATTTTTCCACCGAATTGACAGTAATTAAGTACTTTCAGTTCTTAATAGGTTTCAAATAACTCCACAAAAAATTATGAATATAGGTCCATTTTTTCTGGGAGCCCCCCATATAAGGGTACCCCCAATTTTCGCTACTTTGGGGTTCTTGAGCGCGTGTTTCAACCGAATTCGCTGAAATTTGGTAAATTGGGTTCTTATTGGGTACCAAATATCTCCACTAAAAATTATAAATGTAAGTGCATTTTTTCTGGTAGCCCCCATATAAAGGTACCCTCAAATTTCGGCATTTTGAGGTTCTTGAACGTGTTTTTCAACCAAAATCACTGAAATTTGGTATTTTGTAGCCGTATATGGAAACAAATCTCCCTACCAAAATTTATTAACAGTCAACCCCTAAATAACCATAAGGCTGAGGGTATAATTTTCTATTAAAAATTATTGTTTACATAATCGTTTTGTAGAAATGTCGGTGTAGGTCCATTTTTTGGTATGTTCCCTATATTTTCATTTCAAGTACCTGCCATTATATCTATGGTGGAGGGTATCCAAAGTTAACGCTTTTTCGCTTGTTTTAAACATATTTTGCTGTAGGAATACCCGCTCTATATTTTCGACTGATTTCATGCAAATTGTGCACCAATTAATAAACGTTTCTCCGATCGAGATAAATTTTGGACAGATGGTCGGTATGGCATAGAGTTTCAAAACATAATTAGTATAGCTTCCAAACCTAAGTATGTCCGATTGACATGCAATTTTTCATAGATTTCAGAATGGTATGTTATCGGTTGTTTTAAATTAGGTCAAATATCTACACACACATTTAATTTCTTCGGATTCCATTTCAGTGATCCTTCCTAGATGGTATGCCTATCATATCTACAGGACATTGTTTTGTATGTCCCCAAAGTGGTCAAGGGTATCATATGGTCGGCCCCGTCCGACTTTTGAACATTCCTTACTGGTTTCTGAATAAATATAATTATGAAAAAGCCGAATCATAATTCCATTTTAAATGAATTACAGCACTATATTTGCATGGATACACACGGTTACTGATCTATGTATATATTTTTGAGAGGCACAAATGTGGACAGAAATGGCACTGTGTACACCAAACAACATGTGTTACTACGCCGATGACATCGATATAATTGGTCGAACATTACGAGCGGTAACAGCACATTTGAACAAATTGAGAAGGAGTATGCCAAAGTGGGTCTGACAGTAAACGGCGATAAGACCATGTTATGGTATCAACGCGCAAGACGTCCAGTAGACTCAGACCAACTGTGGAACATGAGAACTGGAGATACTACCTCGAATGCTATTTTAGAGTTTTAATATAAATAAAACTAATGAAATCAGTTTTGAAATTCGGAGAAGGATATTGTTGGCCGACAGATGCTACTACGGCCTCAGTAAGCAGTTTAGAAATTATACCACCTCCCGCCAAACCAAACTCACACTCTACAAGACGCTGATACTACCCATGTTTTTATATGGATCTGAAACATAGTCAGGCGAAGCACCGCACGCGTGCTTTCCCGTGCCTGATCTGAAACATGGGTACTTACACAAGCAGATGAGGCTGCTCTTGGAGTGTTTGAAAGAGAAATTCTCTGAAATATCTATGGGCTGATCTGCGTTGACGGTGAATATCGCCGTCGAATGATCCATGAGTTGTACCATTTATTCTTGGACGAAGGCACTGTCAGACGTATCGAGCTGAAGCGACTACATTGGTTAGGTCATGTTGTGAGAATGGATGAAGATGTCCCAGCTCAAAAGTATGTAAATGCGAACCAGCTGATTGTTCTCGCAGAAGGGTAAGACCAAGAATTAGATGGAAAGATCAACTGGAAGACAACATTGCCGAACATGGTCTTTCAAATTAGAAAAAATGCGCAAAAGACCGAAGCGCCTGGAAATATTTTTTAAGTTCGGCTTGTGAAACTAAAGTTCTCTCACAAGCCAGCTAAGTAAGTATACAATTTTTGATCATCGACCGTAAGGTTACGTTTGCTTCTAATCGGTTACAACAAGGAGCCATCATATCAGATGACGGAATCCATCCGACTTTGCCATTTTCATTATAGGGTTTTAATTGGATACATTTCACATATTTTCGCTTATACCCTTTTATGCACTATGCTTTCATAACTTTTTTAGTTTTAAAAGGATAACATTTTTACAGGACAACTAGCGAAGTTAAATACCCTTTTATATTACTCTGATTAAGGGATGTTTTTCGAAATCCCTTTTTTACTCTACTGGTGGTTAATATTTCGACAAAACAAAAGTAAATAAACTAACAAGACATACAAATTTATTTTCACTTACAATTGACTTTGGTTATATCGAAATCTTTGCGCTGTTCCATGGGACCAGCAGTGGAACTAAGAACTTTCTCTGCACTCTGATGATGATGCTGTTGTTGTTGGTGATGGTGTTGGGCAGCAGCGGCTGCTGCAACGGCATTTAAAGCTGACGGTGGCAGACATGTAATACTGCCCATAACACGCTGGCCATGATGATGGCTATCGGAACGTTGTTGTTGCTGCTGCTGGGCTGAGGTATTATGAGGCGTTAGATTGTGATGATCACGTTCATTTGGCTTTGGTGTCGAACTATTTTGACTAGTAGTTGAATTGGGTTGACCCAAGGGTGTTGATGACATCTCCCGGTGTAATGTAGGGGATGGTGTGGTATTGTGATTGGATAAATTACCCGCCGAATAATGTGGGCTGCGTTGCAAATCATTTTGTTGTTGTTGCTGCTGATGTTGCAATTGCTGTAATTGTTGCAGTTTGTCTTGGACACCCTGTAATGAGGATCTTCTTTGTTGTTGCTGCTGCTGCAAACGATTAGCCTCAGTGTTTGTGTCTTCTACTGATCCGCCTCCTCCTCCACCTCCTGTGGTTGAAATCGAATTTTGTGCATTGGCATTTGTGGGTGATTGCCGGCTATTGTGATGACCCAGTGATGAAACCAATGATGAGATGGGTTGCTGTTGTTGTGCTGGAGGTGGCAAAGGTGGTGGTGGCGACAAAGAATGCTCTGTCTTAACCACAACATCGCCATGCAAAGCTGACTCGCTGTTGCTGACCTGTTTGCTGGCATTGGCGGCAGCAGCTGCTGCAGCAGCATTGGCAACACGTGTTAAGGCCAAAGCTTGGCTCTAAAAGTAAAAGAAAATAAAAATAAACAAAAATATTTAGCCATTAAAATAAAATTTCTAAAAATAAAAACATTTTAGACAAGAACATAAAAAATTGTCTTCTTAAAAATTCTATAATTGTTAACTTAACTAAATGACTTAAATTATTTATTTATTCTATTTGTCACACTGATTGTCTGTCATATCGAATAACAGTACTACGGCCAAAGAAATTTCACTTAAATCTAAATCATTGACGTTCATTTCTTTTCGATTTTTGTTGTTGCTGGCATCAGTTTGGCTTGTCATTTAATTGGTTTGTCTCGTCTTGTCATGCCTGTACGGCCGTCCGTCCACCCATCGTCAATCGCTAAAGAAAATAACCCAGTTTCTGTTTTCGAAATTTAATTCTTCCATTTCAAATAATTGGATATTATTGAGCTTTATTTGGTGAACAAATCAAAGTAGAGTATAAAGTTCAGCACAACATTTTTTTATGGCTATATTGATGGGTGTTGGTGTGTGTGTGTGAGTGTGGGTTTTATGGGCTATAATTGTATAGCTGTTATTCTAACAGTTAAATGAATTTAACCCATAATATTCAATAACCTTAATGGATGACAACACACGATTTTGGTCTCAATGTTTTTTTTCATCACATTTTGGTTTATTTCTGTACATGTGCTGAGATTTATTTATTAAGACAAATTACGCGGACAAGTGTGGAAAATTTGGAGAGAGAGAAAAATTAATAATAAAAAATCAGAGTAGGTAATTGTTCGCAAGGTTAGTGTGAATAAAAATGGGTTAGGGAATATATGTTTATGTGGCATAAAAATATATTCTCTATTGTAATGAAACCCCGTAAGCAAAGTTCAAATGTCGGACGGAGAGATGCTCGTAAAATTCTTATTGAGGTCCAACGAATGCGGTTCATCCTTGGGTCAAATAAATAAGCTGCACTAAATTGTATATCATACGGATCATATATGTGACCTGTAGTTGGTTTTAAATTTATACGGACATGCCTACATTGACTCGGAAAATGATTCTATGCATATTCTAAAAAGTTGCCAGTTGTCTACAGTGTTACCGCTGGCAATTTTAAAAAAGTTGCACAAAAAGTCGTTCCCTTGAAAAAAGGTCGCACAGAAAAATAAATTTGTCAATAAAACCTGTCCGAGAATATGTCAGATACCCTTGGAATTCATAAACGACGTAGAAAAATCCAAATTAGTTTGAATTAACACATAAAAAGGAAAATTCAACTTTAAAAATAAGAAAGAAGAAAAGTCGCACAAAGCTTAAAAAGTTGCAAACACAGTTACAGGGCATCAAAAAGGTACCAAATTGCGACTTTAGTAGCACAACGGTTACCCTGTTGGTCTATCTAGATTTTTTTGCATGTTACAAACATATGCACCAAGAAATTATGCGGTATAGGTTATAAATATTCACGATTTCACCGAAATATTGTATATGTCCTTCTAGACTCAGTGTGGTACTGTATGCAATATTGCGTGTAAAATGGGCAATCCTTTTGGATTTTGGAGCACCATTTAGATAAAATCGGCCGAAAATGTGAACGGGAGTTATGTAACTGCAATGATTTCAACGAAAATTAACAAACATCATTCCATACTCAATTCAATACGCTATGCTAAATTTCGTGTTGGGGAGAGAGGGGAACCTTTGAACGTGGGGTACCTTTTAATAGCGCTCATGAAATCTGGGTTTAAATTTTGTCCGACCCGCAACCAATTTTTTATACGGAAATATTATTCTCTAGCATCGTAAATAACTTTTGCTAGTTTTTTCAGTTGTGGACAAAAAGTAGATGAGTGAAGATTTTTAGGCAGTGCCATTGTAAACTTTTCATTTTTTTGTTGCAAGGGCGCAGAAATAATTCAATTATCGTTTTCTTTCGTTAGGCATTTTTTTTTTTTGCATTCCGACGATCATTTCAAACATAACTGATGTATTTTCTTTCATTTCCGTAAAATGTCATAGGTGGATCACCAGTAAACTCGATAAAAAAACGCTTTAATAAGTTTTGATCTGAGTTTTTTAAATAATTTGTTTAAATAATTAAATTAAATGAATAAAATGGCCAAACCGGGACCAACGGCTAGGAAGGTTCTGCTATGCATTTGGTGGGACTGGAAGGCGATTATTTACTATATGGTCAAACGCTTCCATATGGTCAAACGCTGAATTCTGAACTCTACCGTCAACAACTGGACTGTTTGAAGATAGCAATTGACCAGAAACGGCTAGAATTGGCCAACAAGAGTGGTGTCGTGTTCCACCAGGACAACGCTGGGCCACACACATCTACAGTGAATCGCCAGAAACTTCGGGAGCTTGGTTGGGAAGTTTTAATTCATCCGCAATACAGTCCGGACTTGGCACCAAGCGATTATCATCTTTTTAAACCCTTCACCACACTGTGGTACAGGGTATTATGTCTTTGTGCATATGTTTGTAACGGG